AAATCCCATCATGCATCTGTAGGACTTGTCTATAAATTTGGGCACTGGAGGATTTTTAGCATTCATTCTCCAGATTTGAATCGACACCTTACACATTAGTCTATTAGGTAATCTACACATCTGTCCATTAATACATTATGCCCTCAGATGGAAGTGTCATTCTAGATTTAAGACCAAGAATTGATCATTTTATTAACTAAGAAATCCCATCATGCATCTGTAGGACTTGTCTATAAATTTGGGCACTGGAGGATTTTTAGCATTCATTCTCCAGATTTGAATCGACACCTTACACATTAGTCTATTAGGTAATCTACACATCTGTCCATTAATACATTATGCCCTCAGATGGAAGTGTGGCTAAGACCAAGAATTGATCATTTTATTAACTAAGAAATCCCATCATGCATCTGTAGGACTTGTCTATAAATTTGGGCACTGGAGGATTTTTTAGCATTCATTCTCCAGATTTGAATCGACACCTTACACATTAGTCTATTAGGTAATCTACATCTGTCCATTAATACATTATGCCCTCAGATGGAAGTGTGGCTAAGACCAAGAATTGATCATTTTATTAACTAAGAAATCCCATCATGCATCTGTAGGACTTGTCTATAAATTTGGGCACTGGAGGATTTTTAGCATTCATTCTCCAGATTTGAATCGACACCTTACACATTAGTCTATTAGGTAATCTACACATCTGTCCATTAATACATTATGCCCTCAGATGGAAGTGTGGCTAAGACCAAGAATTGATCATTTTATTAACTAAGAAATCCCATCATGCATCTGTAGGACTTGTCTATAAATTTGGGCACTGGAGGATTTTTTTAGCATTCATTCTCCAGATTTGAATCGACACCTTACACATTCTATAGGTAATCTACACATCTGTCCATTAATACATTATGCCCTCAGATGGAAGTGTGGCTAAGACCAAGAATTGATCATTTTATTAACTAAGAAATCCCATCATGCATCTGTAGGACTTGTCTATAAATTTGGGCACTGGAGGATTTTTAGCATTCATTCTCCAGATTTGAATCGACACCTTACACATTAGTCTATTAGGTAATCTACACATCTGTCCATTAATACATTATGCCCTCAGATGGAAGTGTGGCTAAGACCAAGAATTGATCATTTTATTAACTAAGAAATCCCATCATGCATCTGTAGGACTTGTCTATAAATTTGGGCACTGGAGGATTTTTAGCATTCATTCTCCAGATTTGAATCGACACCTTACACATTAGTCTATTAGGTAATCTACACATCTGTCCATTAATACATTATGCCCTCAGATGGAAGTGTGGCTAAGACCAAGAATTGATCATTTTATTAACTAAGAAATCCCATCATGCATCTGTAGGACTTGTCTATAAATTTGGGCACTGGAGGATTTTTAGCATTCATTCTCCAGATTTGAATCGACACCTTACACATTAGTCTATTAGGTAATCTACACATCTGTCCATTAATACATTATGCCCTCAGATGGAAGTGTGGCTAAGACCAAGAATTGATCATTTTATTAACTAAGAAATCCCATCATGCATCTGTAGGACTTGTCTATAAATTTGGGCACTGGAGGATTTTAGCATTCATTCTCCAGATTTGAATCGACACCTTACACATTAGTCTATTAGGTAATCTACACATCTGTCCATTAATACATTATGCCCTCAGATGGAAGTGTGGCTAAGACCAAGAATTGATCATTTTATTAACTAAGAAATCCCATCATGCATCTGTAGGACTTGTCTATAAATTTGGGCACTGGAGGATTTTTTAGCATTCATTCTCCAGATTTGAATCGACACCTTACACATTAGTCTATTAGGTAATCTACACATCTGTCCATTAATACATTATGCCCTCAGATGGAAGTGTGGCTAAGACCAAGAATTGATCATTTTATTAACTAAGAAATCCCATCATGCATCTGTAGGACTTGTCTATAAATTTGGGCACTGGAGGATTTTTAGCATTCATTCTCCAGATTTGAATCGACACCTTACACATTAGTCTATTAGGTAATCTACACATCTGTCCATTAATACATTATGCCCTCAGATGGAAGTGTGGCTAAGACCAAGAATTGATTCTTTTGTTGATGTAGTGAAAGAATAATTACTATTGTCGGTGGGGCTAGAACCTCTTCAGATGGTGAAGACTCACTTCCTGAGCATTCACTGCTAGTGTCACTTGCTGAAGTATCCTTTTTACATATTCACGGATTTCATGCTGGTTAATGGAATACCAACAATTGATGAAGAAGAAATCCCATCATGCATCTGTAGGACTTGTCTATAAATTTGGGGAGGGAAAGTGTTTTTAGCAGTTACTTCCAGAGAGTTGAATGAACAAGGTTATACAGAGTTATAAATTGTTTCCTCCATCTCCATTGGTAGCTCTTTTTTTAAAAAGTTAAAAATACAAAAAAAAAAAACAAACTTTGCATAATCATCCCAAAATAAAGAAAAAAATTAAATCAAATGAAATTTCAGCCTCTTCATTGTCTATGTTGAATAAGCAGACATTTTTAGGCAAAACTGACAAAATTTCTGTTGTGTATGATACACCTAATTTACATAAGCGGACTACCGACCATATAAATATGGGTTGGTACCGGAAGACGGGGAAGATAGTAGAGATTAAGAAATTGAATCCAGAGACTCTGCCCGACTGCGATTTAGTCAACCCATTATGCAGGAACAGTCTTCCCAAGAATATACCAAACTAACTGTAAATATTGTGTACCTATTCTTTGTTTCAATACATTTTGTTAACGTACATTTTGTGTTGTATTATTCCATGCTTATTTAAGCTTCAACAATTTCTAATAGCTATAATAATAAAAATAGGAAGAAAATAAAATAAATGAACAAATATAATACAAGACAAAAAAGCAATTATGAGACAGTAAAATAGAATGTCTGTGTGAATTTGAGATGATGAGTTTTCATTCCTTACACTACATTCAAACTATTGTCCTTCAGTCTTCATAGATGTTTTAACTTGCACAGTGAATGGGTCCATGATATTCATATATCACAAGCCAGCTGTCACTAGATGACAATACCACAACTTCAGTTCTCACCATCCATACAATGTGAAAAAAGGGATTGTCAGATACTAATATCATCAGTCAAAAAAGCATGAGTGGCAACCCAGACATATACCAGCAAGAAACGATTAATATCAAGCAAACCCTTCAGAACATATCAGAACATCTACAGGTGGAAACAGAAAGACTAGAAAATTGCCACAGTCTATCAGCCTTATGTCAAGAGCTTATTGGAAAAGTTTCAGAAGATCTGTAGTCCATACAACATCAGGGCAATATTCAGAAGCAGCTACACTCTACAGAGAAATCTCTGAGTCAAGACTAACGGGTAGGAGAACATGACCAAGAACTGTGTAGTTCATTGCTTGCAGTTATGGCAGAGAATATAAAGGTGAAACAAGCTGTCCTTTATAAGTCAGACTGGAGGAACAGCAAAAGCTATAGTGATGGGTGAGACAATGAAATTGGGCATGGCTGATCATATATGGCAGGAAAAGGTAGTCATTAGCCCCTGTGGAATGAAATGAAAATACTGGACAAGAAAGAACACTGGCGTATTAAATGTCTGAAAAAAAATTTGTGCATATGCTAGGGTATGAGGATCTCCTTAGTAGGCCTAGCATAGAAATAAATACATTATGGAACCTGGTAATAAAGAAAAACAAATCGCAACAAGTCTTCAGCAGCAGAAAAGAGAAAAGCTTGAATGAGTGCAGTCACACATGGCACTCATAAGCAGTTAGATTTATGGCTCCAAGTTCATCACAGGGAATTGTCCTATAGGAGAATAGCCTAGTGGATTAAAGCATTGGGTCATGAATTTAAGTGTTATATACTGTATCTATGAACACTAATGGGTATGTCCCAGTCCTTATAAATACATTGGACACTATTGTAAGTGGGGGGTAATATGCTGTCTAAATTGTCCGCCACTAGCAGTGGTTTACCTACCTCATGCTGCTGGCGAGTATTGTATTTTGTTGATGCTATAAAGATTACCATTTCACTTACAACCTCTGTTTTGGTTATTCCTCATTCAGTAACATTTCCTAGGTTACTACAGTAAGATCGTAAATGCCTAGGGCAGGTGGTGTATACTTGAACTCAATGAAAATGGGTGAGCAATAACTGAGCAGTACTAAAAATAAGAACAAGACAAGATATCCCTAGACATGGGCAGTAGAATGTGAACAGTCTACTCAACAGATTAAATAAAGGGTTAAGTTTGGAAATCCCTGTAGCTTACCCAGATCAATATACATCTGATGAAGGCCAGAGACCACAACGGCTGAAACATTATGACAACAGCAACAAAGATGAAGAAAATAATCCAAATGTAGATAGTAAAAAAATTGTTCATATGCAAATGGAAGTGGTTATAGCCTTTTGACTTAAAATCAAGAAAGAAAAAATATCTTTGTTGCCATATTTATTGCAACATTTCGGCCGTTGGACATTCTGGTCCTCTTCAGGTGGTTGGAATGTTGAACTGAACCCTTTATTTTGTTTGCTGGGGTAGAATTTTCTAGTTCAACATGCCATGTCTAATGGATGTCAGTTATCAGTTATCTCCTGTTAATTCCTTTCTTCAAGTTCTCCACTGCCTTAACCAGGGATTGAACTCACAATTCTTTGGGTCCTGTCACTGGATCTAATCTTCAGGACACATGGCACAGTGGATAAAGGCATACAACGGCTGAAATGTTGTGATAAATATAGCAACAAAGATGAGGACAATAGTTCGAATAATGTAAATAGTGTACATAATACCTCATCTCAGAAATATACACAGATACTGAATCTAAAAGCTTGTTGACTGCAAGGTCATGGAAAACTGTTGATGAATAAGTACATCTCTATTAACAATTATTTATTAATTATTATTAGTTATTGTTTAATAATTATTATTTATTGGACTTTGGGGGCTTACAGTACCAGGTGTTCCCAAGCGGTCCCCCATCTAAGTACTGACCTGGCTCTACGCTGCTTAACTTCAGTGATCGTACGAGAAGTCCAACCCTTACCTCACAGTTGGTGGGGGGGTGTAAACGGTAGTGTCAGAGCTATGCCGCCCGGAACTTCGTTCCTGGTAGGGCCACCCAAGGCTGACAGTTCCGACACACACGCCGGCTAACAAGGGCTCTGGTGAAAATCCAAGGAGCGTCTGTATCGGTAACCAGCGGCTTCTGGTCGTTCCTGTCTGTGGGAACCCCGCGGCAAGCAAGAACGTTATCCAAGTAGGCCTGGGTACCCAACTTCTGTAATTTATCCCAAGAATCTTCTTCTCATAACAGGAAGAAGCCGGCTCAATCCGCCCAGGGTGAATGCCGCATCAGTACAGTACAGTAATTATTATTTATTGACACTAATAAATACATCTCTATTAATCACTTTAGTTTTCTCATAGAAAAATTGGGACAGAACCTTTTGTTTAAACCTGATACTTTAAAGCCAGGGGACAAAGCCCTGTGCCACAAAGCTTTTTTCATGAGTAACCCAATACGTTACAAAATTGCAAACTGATTTGTGTTAAGCTTTCAAATGTAGTGCATTGAGAAAGAAAAAGAGGGAAAGAAAGACAGAAAAAAGAGAGAAAGACCAAAAAAAGAAAGAGAAAAAGAAGAAATATGTGGGCAAGATGAAGTATAGTTCGTACAATCTTAATTTGTTCAAGTCTAAGGTTAATCATTATCTTCCCCACATATCCACATAAACTGTATCACTGTGTAACCCTCTACCTCAAGTGGCTCCCAGGCCTTGTACAGAGTGAACATCAATGTGGAAAAAAAAAATTGACAAAGATAAAATCCCAGCATGCATTCTTAGGATTTGTCAATAAATTTGAAGAGGTGGGGGGGACTTGTAGAAGACATTCCCAGAAATTGGAAGCAACACTTCTCACCTCATTCAAATAGGAATAGATATGTTTGCCTTTTGCCCAGTTCACATTACTCCCCAGTTCTTTGAACAATAGTGGTTTATCCCAAGTTTCTGATTGCTTCTAATGTCTTCTCTTTCACTCTCAATAGTCCCTTGGAGTGAATTGATTTAAAAAAAAAAAAAATCTCATTACCTCTTCCCCATTTTTGGTGTTAATAAATATGAAGAAAATACATATAAATATTCATATATTTTTCTTTTCTATTTTTCATTTTATTGTACATATATTTTTAATCAGAAAGAGGTTGAAGGAAAATAACTGAAGAACAATTACAAATGGGTTTGAAATTTTATCTCCCCAAATATGTTTCTGACAAATATTAGCAAAAGCCATATTTGTATAATTGTATTATTTATTTACTTTTAAATTTTAGCATGTATCAAGAATATGGACTGGAATTATGGTCACCTGAGATTTCCAGAAGATAGGAAGAGTTATCAAGATGTTTTCTGTGTTTGGATCATTAAGGTGGCGCCAGGAATGAAAATTCATCTTAATGTAACTGTACTGAAATTAGATGGGGCAGATTCTTGTAATGATGAATTTTGAAGGTTGGTTACATAAAGAAATTTCATTTTTACTTAAACCATCTTGTCCATACACATTACCAACAGTTTTTCTTGTCTGCATCTGTTGTCACTCACCCGCGCTCCGCTCCCGTTGTCACCCGCCCACAGTCCGCTCCCGTTGTCACCCGCCCGCGGTCCGCACCCGTTGTCACCCGCCCGCGCTCCACTCCTGCGCTCCTGTTGTCACCCGCCCGCAGTCCGCTCCCGTTGTCGCCCACCCGCGCTCCGCTCCCGTTGTCGCCAGCCCGCGGTCCGCACCTGTTGTCACCTGCCTGCATTGTTTACACCAGTTTTATTTAGATATACTACGTCAGATTTTATAATGCAAGTCTCTGTGTGAGAGGCAGAGGCATGTAGCTAGAATTCATGTTGGCATCTTGTCATCTTTTAAGATGACAAGATGCCAACATGAGTTCCAACCATGTTTCTTTTACTGCATCTCTGAATAAATGCTGCTACAATTACATCTTAAAAAGACAACCAGGAAAAGAAATTAACAACACTTAACCCTTGAAAATGGTTAAAGAATTGACCAAAAGCACCTGGGATAATAGACAAAATGGGCCATTTTTACATTCCCTTTTTACATTACTCCCAGTAAATGACAAAACTATTAGAAAAACTAAGAGAATTTTACTTTTTCTGTCATATTCAATGAAACATGTATGAAAGAAAGGTTGCTGCCCAAATATACATTTTATATATAGTTACTTCCGTAAAAATTTTTAACTTTTAGATAAACATAGCAATTTTGTATTTAAAAAAATATTTGTCTTGAAAAAACAACACTGATGATAACATTGTGCTAATGTTGAAAGTACTTGTAATAAATAATATGTATCAACACGGTAATTTTCTCTCTTCCTTTAAAAGAGAAAAGCTTGTGCGTGATTATGAATGGATCCAATTAAAATAAATAGACAAAACTTGTCTAAATTATTCAATGAAACATGTTTATTTATATATATATAAAATATAGTTTTGCTATGTTTATGTGTTAAAGTGCTCAGGGATAGAATGGATGTAAAGATAAAAGTAGACATTGAGGTAAACACTCAGTGACATTTTGTTTCATTCTCAAATGCAATTGAAGTGTCATACATACATATGCTTGTGTGTGTGTGTATATATATATATATATATATATATATATATATACACACACCCAAGTATAGGATTGATATATACAGAATAAATTTCAATAACCAACAATTACTATTCTTAAAAGAGGGTCTTTTAACAAAACATATGCTTCTTTTATAATAATTAAATAATTATATATATATATATATATATATATATATATATATATATATATATATATATTTTATACATTATTTTTATAGATACAAATATTTAAGTAAATGCTCTGTTTATAATAAACAGTACATTTACCAGCCTAATTGTCTGAAAAATCTCAAAAAAAATATGTCTTCTGACCCGTATCCTACACGGAACTGCTTTATAGCCTGATGTGCTGTACTATTTAGCTACAGAGGAAGCCTGTGGTAAGCAAGGTTAAGTTGATGTTTTTGAACTAATTTAACCTTGCTAACCAGATGCTGTAATACTGTATGCCTGAAGAGTATGTATGGAGGCCAGCATACTAAACCCTGTCAAATATGATTTGATATATCTAGAGAAACAGCTTGAACTTTGCCGTTATTATCAAGAACTTGGTATACATATTCAGTTATGGCCATAAGCACATCAGGAGTAGACTAGACAAATCAGAAACCATATTGTTTGTCAGAGAGCAGATTGTGGGAGGTGAGATGCTTAACTACTTTGGCATTGATTAAAGCCTCAAATACTTTGCTGAAGAATAGTGACTGATGAGACGGTAGTTAGAAGAGTCAGAAGGGTCTCCAGAGTTCTTAAAGACAGGGATGACAGAGGAGGACTCCCAACAGGCTGGAAATAGTTGTATAGTTTGGAGAGCACTGGAGCCAGCTCAGGGACACATTTCTTTGGGCCTACGGCTGGTATCCTGTCACCACCATTTACTTTATAAGAGTCTAATTTAGAGATGATGTTCAATACCATCGACGGGGTTATGCACATCTCACTCAGTATAGCCTCTGTTCTAGTTGGAAAATCAAGTGTGGCTATCCCAGATGAGCCTAGTGTTGAGCTGGATGAGAATTTCCAAGCAAAGCATTCAGCCTTATCAGCTTAGGATGTTAAGATGATTTGCTGTAGTTCAGCACACTCTTGCAGAGCTGCCAATAGTCCTTAGAACCAAAATTGCGAGATACAATAGGTTGTTTCATTCTATCAGCAAATAGTAACTTTGCTTCATTAAAGACATGCTTACACTCATTACAAGCAGAAACAAAGAGATATCTGTTATAATCAGAGATGTTGCTCTGGTACAGATGGAAGTAGTGATTCCTATGGGCTATAGTGGCAGTGCAAGCAGTTGAGAAACAAGGATATGATTATGGTTTAATTTCGTAATTTCTTGCTGAGATGAAAGTCTCAATGCTGGCTTTTACCCAGGAGGAGACCCCAGATGCACATTTTGTACAGGATGGTTAAAAGCCACATTCAAGGGATGTCACGAAGGAAGTCATGGAACGAGTCCCAGTCTGTGTGTTGATAACAGAAAGATCTTCTGTTAGTAGGAAGTTCATATCAAGGAGGGAGAGTGGAAGGAAATGTTAACAGATACCAACTCATGATCAGAGTTGCCAAGAGGGCAGAGCTGCATAGCACAACAAGAATCACAGATGGAGGTAAAACAGAGATCAGGAAGGAAGCATTCCTATCAAAAAAATTTAAATGCAATGTCAATCACTATCTATTCTCCTGATTACTCTTTCCTTTTCTCACTCATTATTAATGATTTTGTCCTTAATTCTTCCACACCCTCTAACCCCTTTTGTCTTAGTAGCTTTACTGTTTTGCATGGGTGATACTGATTAAAACAAAATAAAAAAAAAACAATGTTTTTTATGAATAGCTTTTCTGTATCAAAAAACTTGTAAATTCTCTGTATGTTTTGTGTGTTACCTATGGATCTTACCGTAGCTTGGCATATTATGTTAGTTTGAATGCAATTACTGTTTGGTGGGCATTTTTACTTTTTTTTTCAGCAACTACAGTTGGGGGTTGTGAAAGATTGCGACATATTGGTTATTTTTTGTTTAATGATTTGTAGCCTGTTTTGAGTATTTCTGTTGAAAGATTTTCTTTTTCTATGACTTTATTTTTATTCCCTGTCAGCCATTTATATTTAGTTTGCAAACATGGTCTGAAGATCAGCTGAAGCCTAAAACTGACAGTCATCATGCATTATTACTTTGTGGAATCATTGTTGCCCCTGATTATAATCTGTAAAATTGTTTTCAGATTTCAGATGGTGATAGTCTAAAAGCACCAGTGTTGACGACCGTATGTCATACCACACAGCAGACTGCTATGGCCACTTCAACAGGAAACAAAATGACTGTTATCTACAAAGTCCAGAATACAACAAAAGAAAGAAAACTAAGAGCC